CTTGGCGTCGAATTTGTCTACCTTTATTGTGATCCGGTTGAAGAATACCGAATATTATTGGTAATTCGGTTAGCTAAGCGAGAAAAAACTTTGTACGAATGAGGAGCGCGATCTGGGTATCGTTCTCGCCACAATCCTGCAGCTGCTCTAAATTGACCATCACATTCACCTAAAATAAGCATCATATCACAAGCTTCCGCGTTTGAATACGACATGGCTGGTAAATGAGAATTTTNACACCTTACGTGACAGTATCAGACATGTCATACATCACGACTGTGTAATGCTAATGCCGGCGGTACTGTAACTTTCAATCCTCATAACTCAAAAAGTACTGATTAAAAAAACGTTTTATTATAGCGTTTTGGAAAGCTCTCGAGGTAAGCTACAAGAATATGCATTGAAAAATGGGGGTTTCCATTTAAGAAATTAAAGGTGACCTTCACGTAATCTTCAAACGACTATCCAAAGTTAAACCAATGACACCGTCTTATGTGCCCCTCAAAGTCACAAAACTTTTGTCTGAAACATTTTTCTTTAAAATGTCGCGTTTACGAAAAAATCAGGTGAGACGGGTGGTCTGGGACACCCTGTATATACGAAGGTGGTCCCAGAGGTACCCGACCCAACAAAGAAAACACAAAAATTTTGGAAAAAAATCTATTTATTTTTCAACATAATCTCCTTTCAGCTCTATACACTTTTCCCAGCGATGTTCAATAAGTTCGATACCCTTTTTATAATAAGAACTGTCTTGCTCCTCAAAATAGCCATTAACTGCCGACATCACTTCTTCATCGTTGGAAAATCTTTAAAGTGATAGACCCATGTTTCATCCATGGTTATGAAACGGCGCAAAAATTCTGCTTTGTTGNGGAAAAAAATGTATTTATTTTTCAACATAATCTCCTTTCAGCTCTATACACTTTTCCCAGCGATGTTCAATAAGTTCGATACCCTTTTTATAATAAGAACTGTCTTGCTCCTCAAAATAGCCATTAACTGCAGACATCACTTCTTCATCGTTGGAAAATCTGTAACCACTGAGCCATATTTTCAAGTTTGGGAACAGAAAATAATCCGAGGGGGCTAAATCTGGCGAATAGGGTGCATGAGGTAGCAATTCAAACTTTAATTCATTAATTTTGGACATTGCAATAACGGATTTGTGAGCTGGTGCATTGTCTTGATGAAATAACACTTTCTTCTTAGCGAAATGCGGCCTTTTTGCTTGATTTCTTCGCTCAAACCTTACAATAAGTTCGCATAATACTCGCCGTTCATAGTTTTTCCTTTTTCAAGATAGTCAATGAAAATTATTCCATACGCATCCCAAAAAACCGACGCCATGACCTTGCCTGCAGATGAAACGGTCTTCGCCTTCTTTGGAGCCGATTCTCCCTTTTGAGTCCATTGTTTTGATTGTTCTTTTGTATCGGGTGTGAAGTGATGGACCCATGTTTCATCCATGGTTATGAAACGGCGCAAAAATTCTGCTTTGTTGCTGTGAAACTTCGCTAAACACTCAATTGAAACATTTTCACGACACTGTTTTTGCTCGAGTGTGAGCAAACGCGGCACCCATCTTGCACACAGCTTTCTTATGTCCAAATTTTCAGATAATATGCGATGTACCGCACTTTTTGAAATGCCTACTATGTCTGCTAGCTCGCGCACTTTCAGTCGACGATCATCCAATACCGCTTTGTGGATTTTCTTCACCATTTCTGGAGTCGTCACCTCATTTGGTAGACCACTGCGATGCTCGTCTTGGCAGCTCGTACGGTCTTGTTTAAACTCTGCTACCCAATATTTTACTGTTGTAAACGAAGGAGCAGACTCACCCAGAGTAGAATCCAGTTCAGCTTTTATATTGGTTGGGCTGAGGCCTTTCAAATAAAAGTATTGTATCACATAACGATGACCAATTTTCTCCATTTTCACAAATTCACTGAAAACGTTCACTATTGATGGCTGCCAAACAAATACTAAACAACGTGGCGTCTTCAAACTTGAAATATATGCTTTATAGATTGTGTACTTTCTAATACAGTGATATTTTTCAAACAACTTCCGCCATCTCTAGGTCAGACCGGGTACTTTTGGGACCTCCCTCATATATATATATATATATATATATATATAGACACACACACACACACACACACACACACACACACACACACATATATATATATATATATATATATAGTATTAGTCTTTAATATCACATTAGTTTTTCTTTTAAATCTTTTAGGTTAGGTGGTATTAAAAATAAAACTTAAAAATAGCATGCNGTTTTTCTTTTAAATCTTTTAGGTTAGGTGGTATTAAAAATAAAACTTAAAAATAGCATGCTAATCTTAAGAAATACATATAAAATATGTTAAATTTAGTTGCAAGTATCTCGGTTCTTAAAAAGTCAATTTTTTCTAATTGCTCGAACAGTTAGATAACATTTCAATGTATATGGAATGCGAGTTTTATCGAATTTTTATCAAACTCATTTTATTCAGTGTACTAATAAATTCGTTGCCTTTTTCATGAAATTCATTTTATTTACAAAAAGTTAATTAAAAATTTAAGGGGTTACACCACAGTAGAAATTTCAAAAAATCGATTCTTTT